CATTTATAAACTATCAAGGGTTCATGTGGGAGGGGGGAGCGGGGAGGGAGGGGAAAAATGAGGACCTAATGTCGGGGGTTTTAATGGTGAGAAAATGTTTTGAGAAACGATGTACAAATGCACTTTACACAATTGATGTGTGTATGAATTGGGATAACAGTTGTATGAGCCCCTAATAAAATGTTAAAAAAACAACAACAACAACAAAAAATATATAAAAACTATTAGATATAAATAACAAAGGAAACACAGACAACAGAAATAAAATAGATCATTGGGACCTACTAAAATAAGACACCTATGTGAATCAAAAGACTTCATCAAAGGAGGACCCATAGGTTGGGAAAATATTTTTTAACATAGCACAATACACAAGGGATTAATCTCTAAAAGATGTAGAAAGCTACGTCTCAATTAGAAAAAGATGAGTAACCCATTTAAGAAGTGAGCAAAGGGCAAAATCAGTACACCAATGATGACATTCAAATGGCCAACACATGAAAAAAGGTTTAGGATCACAAGCTATACAGAAGGAACAAATCAAAACAATGATGAGATACAACCTTATAACAACAATGACAGCTAAATTAAATGACAAAAATGATGATGATGCTGTGGAGAGATTGTAACCCTTATCCACTGTAAGTGGGACTGCAAATTATGTACAATTATTGTGGAAAGTGATGTGTTGTTACCACAAACTAAGAACTGAAATTCCATACAATCCAGCCATTCCTCTGTTGTGTATATACCTTAAAAAGTAAGGGTCATAGCTGTAACAGCTATGTGCACACCCATGTTCAGTTCAACACTGTATATGTTAATAAACAGATGGAAACAACCTAAATACCCACCAGGAGAAGAATGGATAAACAAAAATTTTTGATCCAAAGAAATAAGATGCATCAATGAATGAAAACCAAACAACCATTCAGGAAGCCAAAAGAACACAAGTTAGACTGAATACCAAGGAGAATTCACCATGGCATATAATAGTTAAACTACCCAACTTTGAGGAAAGGGAGAAACGCATGAGAGCAACTAGGGAAAAAAGTGCAGTCACCTATAAAGGCACCCAAATAAGACTATGTTCAGTCCTATCAGTGGACACTATGAAGAAGAGGAGAGAGTGGAGTAATATGTTCTGAAAATTGAAAGAAAGTAACACAAACTCAAGAATACTCTACCCAGCCAAATTACCTATCAAGGTAGATGGAGAAGTAAGAGTCTTCCCAGACAAGGACAAATGCCAAGAATATGTTAAAAGAAACCCAGCCCTGTAAAAAAAATCCTTGCCAATCCAGTATGGGCAGAAGAATAACAATCACTGAGCAAAATAAGAGAATGCCACATAGAACAACTCCACATAGGTCAAAAAGCGAAAACAGCCCCGAAGGTAGCATCAGCTCAATGGTGGGAAGAAGACAAAATGAGCTACACACACACACAAACATGCACAATGCACCGATAAGAAAGGGAGGTAGAAAAACACCCAGCAAAAAAAAATACAAGGTGACATCTCAGAGTCCACAGATGGATGTAATAACCCTGAATATCAAGAAGCTGAACTCAGGCATTAAAAGACAGAGGCGGGCATACTGGCCTGGTAAACACAACCTATTTGCTGCCTACAGGAAACATATCTCAAGATTACAGGAAAAAATAGGCTGAGAATCAAAGGCTGGAGAAAATATACCAAGAAAATGGCAATTCAAAACATGCAGAGGTTGCAATCCTAATCTCGGATAAGATTGATCTCAAGATGCAATCCATATCAAGAGACGAAGGGCACTATATAATGCTCAAGGGAACAGTAGACCAAGAATCAGTAAGCATAATAAATATATATGCACCCAATGAGAGTCATGAAATTCATCAAATGCTCCAAAAGATGAAAAAAGAAATCACCAGTTTACCAATCATAATAGGTGAATTTAATATACCGTTCTCCAAGAAAGATAGCTCACAGGGAAAGGAGCTTAACAAGGAGGCTACAGATGTAAACTCTACAATGAGATGATTTGACCTGATATTTTCTGAGCTCTGCACCCAAATAAGAAAAAAAAATTCATACTCCTTTCAAGCCCAAATGGCACATAATCAAAGAGGGACCACATGCTAGGTGACAAGTCAAGACTATGTAAATCCAAGTACATACAGACTTCCCTCTCAAACTACTGTGCCATAAGGCTGGAAATCAACCAAATGTTGATTAAGAAAACAAGGGAAAACAATTGGATGATGAATAACTCTATTGCAAAAGAAGTTGGAAGTGGCTCAGATCAGAGAAGAAATTAGGAAATTTATGGAAACCAATGAGAATAAGAATATGGCATACCAAAAACCTTTGTGTGGTAGTTACATAATCTGTTGTCAATCTGAATATTAAGAGTAAAGGGGTGGAGTTTAGCCTGTCAATCAGGTCCCAGCTTGATGATCTCATTTGGAGACACTAAGGAGATAAATAACATGCTGGAGGTGGGACACAGGCTCACTCCCTGGGAGACACAGCAATTGACAAGACACATGGAGACAGGTTGATGGCAGTCAGAGCCTCCCAGCTGGAGGAGCCACGTGGAGACCCCTGCCAATGCTGAGATGCTTACAGCTCCACTAGACTCTCAAGTCTTCCCATCCACTGACCTGTGATTTTCCTGCATTCGATGTCATTGCATGTGTTTCCTGAGTCTGAAGAGGACTTTATAGATTGTTTTCAAACATATGGGCTATTATCGGACTTATGGATTTTATCTGAACTGGGCTGGGACGTTATCTGAATATTTAATTGCTCTTGTATATAAAGCTCTTTCTTTCTTTTTCCCTCTATGTTCACCTTTACAAATGATATGCCATGAAGAAGACACAGCACACCGGAAGTACGTTAAAGGGAAATGATACTATGGCATAGTGTCTGGCTGTGTAGATAAAGCTCTTTCTTATACACATGAGTGCGTCTATTAATTTGTTTCTCTAGTCTATCCAGACTAACACACTTTGGGACACAGCAAAGGCAGTAAGCAGAGGAAGTTTGAAAGCAATACAAGCACACATGGAAAAGGAAGAAAGACTTATGATCAATGTGCTGGCACAAAACTTACAGCAATTAGAGAAGAGTCAATAAGGCAATCCTACTAATAGCCAAAGAAACGAAATAATAAAACTCGGGGCTGAGGTACATACGAGGGAAAACAAGAAAAACATGGAAAAAAATAAAGGTAGCAAAAAGTTGGTTCTTTGAAAGGATTAACAGAATCAACAGACCACTGGGAAACCTATCCAAAGAAAGGCAGGAACACATTTCAATAGCAAGGATGAAGGATGAAGCAGGGGACATTCCAACGGACCCTAACAAAATCAAAAGGATAATTACATAGTAGTATGAAGGCCTGTACTCCAATGAATTCAACAATTCGAAAGATATGGAAAAATACTTGGAAAAACTATCTCTCCCTAGACTATCCGAGTTGGCCATCAAACACCTCAAGAGACACATAGCAATAGAAGAAATAGACAAGGTTATCAAGGGATAAACAACAAAAAATACCCTGGGCCAGACGGCTTTACTGGAGAATTCAAACAAAGCATTCAGAGTAGAATTGACACCAATCCTATACAAACTCTTCCAGAGCATAGAGAAAGAACCCTTTCTATGAAGCTAGTATAAATCTGAAACCTAAAACAGGCAAGAGTCCCACAAGAACTGAGATATACAGACCAATATCCCTAATGAACATCGATGCAAAAAATCTTTAACAAGATATTAGCCAACAGAATACAAAAGTATATAAAACAAATAATTCACCATGACCAAGTGGGATTGATTCCAAGGATGCAGGGATGGTTCAGCATACAAAAGACCATTAGTATTATTCACCACATTGACATGAAAATTATAAGAACCACAGGATAATATTGATAGATGCAAAAAATGCATTCAATAATATCCAATACTCATTCCTGTTTAAGACATTCAAGAAGATAGGAATGGGGAAAAAATTCCTCAATATTATACAAGCTATATATGAAAAACCAAGAGCCAATGTGGTAGTCAATGGAGAAAAGATGAAAACGATCCTACTGAATAAGAGGACCAGACAAGGATGCCTCTTGTCCCCACTCTTCTTTAACATCGTACTGGAGGTCCTAGCTAACAACACTAGGCAAAGGAAAGACATTAAAATTATTCGTCTGGGGAAGGAAGAGGTGAAACTACCGTTATTCGCAGATGATATGATTTTACATATAGGAAATCACAAAATTTCCACAAGGGGATTGCTGGAAGTGATAGAGGAATATGGCTGAGTGGCAGAGTACAAGATAATCAAACAGAAGTCTATCAAACTGGTATATACATCAGACAAGTCTATGGAAGAGGAGTTCACAAATTGAAATATCTAGGGGTATACCCGACCAAAATATTTGTACAAGGAAAACTACAGAAAACTATGATAAGAAATCAAGAGTGACCTCCACAAATGGAATAATATACCATGCTTGTGGATCAGAAGACCCAATATAGTAAAGATGTCAGTTCTGCCCAGGGAACTATAAAAGTTTATTGCTATCCCAATACAAATACAATACTCTTTCTTCAAAAAATTTGAAAAACCGATTACCAACTTTATACAGAAAGGGAAGAAGCCCAGAATTAGCGGAGAACTCCTCAAGAAAAAGGACACGGTTGGAAGTTTTTCCTTGCCTAACTTTAGCACCTATTACACAGCCACAGTGGTCAAAACAGTGTGGTACTGGTACAATAACAAGCACTCAGACCAATGGGAAAGACCTGTAAACCCAGAAATAAAATCATCAGCATACAGACAACTGATCTTTGATAAGGGTCTCAAAAATATTAAATGGGAAGCAGGTGCCCTCTTCAACAAGTGGTGCTGGAAAAAGTGGATATCTACCTGCAGGAAAATGAAGCAAGACCCTTACCTCATTCCATGCACAAGAATAAACTCAAGGTGGATCACAGACCTTGAGATAAAACCCCAAAATATTAGGGTCATTAATGAGGGAATTTGGACAAACCTGAGAACTTTGGCACAGGGAATACATCGGCTATCAGAAATAGGAAAGGACACAAACACAGAGGAGGCACAAATTGACAAGTGGGATATACTGAAAATAAAACACTTGTGTACATCAAAAGAATGCTCCAATAGAGTAATATGAGAACCCACAGAATGGGAAACCATCTTTAGCAATGACACATCAGACAAAGTCCTTATTACTAAAATCTACAATACTCTGCTAGCTTACAATAAGAAAAAAAAACGGATAGGCCATAGAGTAAGTGGGCAAAGGTCCTGAACAGAAGTTTCACAAGGGCAGAAATCAGAATGCCTAATAAACATGAGAAAAATTTCCCACTCATTAGCCATAAGAGAAATGCAAATTAAAACAATTATGAGATACCACCTAGCACCCTCAAAGATAGCCCAATTAAAAACATTAGAAAGTAACAAGTGTTGGAAGGGCTATGATGAGAAAGGAACTCTCATCCACTGCTGGTGAACCTGTAGGTATCTATAGCCGTTATGGAAATCAATTTAGAAATATTTAAAACAAATGGAAATTGAGCTACCATATGACTCAGCAATCCCATTACTGGATATATTCCCAGAACAGGCAAGAAACAAACCACAGTGAGACATCTCTGTTCCAATATTCATGGTGGCACAGTTCACAATTGCAAGGAGTTGGAAACAACCAAAATTTCCATCAAGAGATGAATGGATTAAAAAACTGTGGTACATACATACAATGGAGTACTATGGATCCCTAAAAAGCAGTGATGGATGCATTAATAATATTGGCACATGGAAAGAACTGGAGAAAATTATGCTAAGTGAAGTAAGTCAAGCACAAAGCACAATTACAAGATGAGTCTTCTGAGGTAAGCTTACAAACAAAATGGGGTATAGGGGGAAAACTACTATATGCATACATTTCTGGGGTGAGGTCCAGGTACTATGGCAGGGGTCAGGCCCAATCCAGGGATACATATGACAGCCAACTAAAAAGGAGGGGGGGAAAGAGAGAGAGAAAAAAAGACATGGTTAGTGGGGGAACAGGGCACTAACCCACCGAAGGGGATGGTATTGTTTATATCTCCACAGGAGAGGGAGAGAGAAACCAGATCTCAACCCAGTGCACCAGGACGTGAATGCAACATATCGGTATGAAGCAGCAAACCAAAAGAGAGGTCTGTGAGACAGGTCCCAATCGCAGCTATGTGGAGTCCGCCCCCCTGCCCTACCCCCCCCACAAAAAGGATTGCACTACAGAGGACAGCCCTGAAGCTACAGCAGACCAGAGCACACAGGAGCAAATTAAGAAGGAAGGAGAGAGAGTGGAACACATCCTTGCCTACCATTCCCTGAGGATGATATTCTGGCTTGCAGCAAGGACCATAAGGCCAGACCCACCATGAGACAGTCAGGGTGCAGTATAGCACCAATGAAACATACAACTTTCCTCTACTTATTTAATGCCCCCCCTCCACAATCATGACCCCAATTTTACCTTACAAATCCGGCTAGACTAACACATGTACACTGGTAAAGATAAGAGCTCACAACACAGGGAATCCAGGACAGGTAAACCCCTCAGGACTAATAATGAGAGTAGCGATTCCAGGAGGGGAGGGAGAAGGTAGTGGGGAGATGGGGGGAACTGATCACAATGATCAACATATATAAGCCCTCCCCAAGAGTTTTAAGAACAGAAAAGTGGTTAAAGGGAGACAGTGGTTGGTGTACGACATGAGAATAATAATAATTTATAAATTATTAAGGGCTCATGAGGGAGGGAGGGTGGGGGAGGGAGGTGAAAAATGAGGAGCTGATACCAAAAGCTCAAATAAAAAGAATGTTTTGAAAATGATGATGGCAGCATAAGTACAAATGTGCTTGGTACAATGGATGTATGTAAGGATTGTGATAAGAGCTGTAAGCTCCCCCAATAAAATGATTACTAAAACAAGAACGAAATACCAGGCATCACTAAAAATCAATGATGAAACTACCAAGCATCTCATGGCATGTATAGACCTGGAGAACATTATCCTGATTGAAATTAGTCAATCATATTAGGAGAAATATTTTAGCATACCACTGCTATGGTAGTTACATTATTTTATGTTAACTTGAGAATATATAAATGTGCAGAGGTGGTATCCAGGTTTTAGTGTCAGGTCACAGCCTGAGGTGCCTCCTTGTAGGTGTGGCCTTCTCTTAAGAAGGGCCCTGGGAATCTCCCTCTCTTTTTGCCTTCACCTTCCTGCTTGCTGGCGACGCTTTGAGCTGCAGGAGCCCTGCTAAGTTTCCACCTGCTAGGTTGGATCCACACGATTTTATAATCACTGGCCTGGGATCTTCCTGCATTCTGCATCATTACATGCGATTCATATGTCTGAAGAGGGACTTATGGATTAGTATTGGACTTATGGACTTGAGTTGACATTCATCTGCTGCACGAAAAGGACCTCATAGCGTAATTGTTAAGAGGAGTATAGAGAGTGTTAAAGCAAGAGAAAGATAAGATTTTCTATTCCCAAAAGATTCAAAGTTTCGGAAGCCCATAGGAACAATTCTACTCTGTCCTACTCTGCAACCTACAGGGTTGCAATGAGTTGGAATATGAGCGCTGAGGTTTTTTGCATATGGAGTAAAAGTAGTTCCAGGTGTTATAAATAGTTAATCACCAGATGAACCTCTCAGGACCAGGGGTGACAGTGGCGATACCAGGAGGGAAAGGGGGTGTAGAAAGGGGGAATTGATCACAGGAAGCTACATAAAACCTCCTCTCTGGGGGACGGGCAGCAGAGGGGTGGGTGAAGGGAGACGCCAGGCAGTGTAATATAAGATACAATAATAATTTATAAATTATCAAGGGTACATGGGGGAGAGGGGAGGAGGAAGGGAAGGGGAGGGGGGAAAAAAGGAAAATGA